AATATCTCTTTTGAACTGTGGTGCCCAGAATTGGACACAGTATTCCAGATGAGGTCTAACCAAAGCAGAATAGAGAGACACCATGACATCCCTCTAATAAGCTAAATTCTATTAGTTTCAATGGATCTACTCTAAGTACAACTAAGAGTAAATTCGGGAGTGAGTCTTCTTCGGGAGTGATAAAGCAGGGTATAAATAAATATAAATATAATAATAATAGCAATAATAATAATAATACCATGAATCCCCCAATATTTGCATTGTTCAGGCCACATTTGGTATAATAATGGAGTCAGGACTGAATTTTTCCATATCAAGGAAATACAGACAAATTTCAGTGAGTCATCTGAAAACCAAGGAATAGGAAGAATTGTTGAGTTTTTTCCCCCAGAGAAAAGAGTATTAGGAGAAGAAATGGCAGCAATCTTCAAACGATTGGCCCTGCTCACTGGTGCATTTGGGGAATTGTAATCCAAAATAATAATTTCACAAAACTCTACACTGCCATATAATGCAGTTTTATAATGCAGTTTAAGAACATTAAACTGCAGTATATGAGTCTACACTGCCATATAATATAGTTGAATGCTGTTAAACTGCATTATAAAACTGCATTATTTAGTAGTGTAGATGGGGCTTCAAATAGACTTGTACTGTCTTCTGGAAAGGCAACTTTTGCAGAAATTCTGCTTTTGCACGAAGCAGAACTTTGTCAACTTAATGTTCTATTTTAGTAAAAATTGTTTCTCTTTCATGGTGGATTGTGTTCTTTTTAAGCAAGCTTCTAAAAGATTTCATGGAGATCAGAGACAGTTGGCATTGCGACACCAGCAGCTGCACCCTCACAGCGGCTGGCACAGAATGGAGCTTTATATATTTTTTTGGTTTGGGGAGGGGGCATCAATAGGATGGGATTTCCAAGGATGAGACATGTCTTGGTATCTGCACTTATATCAGATTTTTTTTTAAATCCTTGAGGAAAACAAACCTAATGCATAAACTGTACAAATGTGGTTGACAGTTCTGTGCTGCAATGCTTTAAAGATATTCAGAGAAAATACAACCACATATCTGTCCTATGAAATAATGAATCCTAGTTGTGTAAAAGCTCCTTGTTTTTCCTAATTGCTTTGTAGGTGGTCTTTGAGGCCTTGCATAATCTGGAGCCTCGCGGTTATGTGGTCGGCTGGATCATTGCTATCAGTTTACTTGTGGGAATTCTCATCTTCCTGCTGCTGGCGGTGCTGCTATGGAAGGTGAGCTATCTTTCAGACACACTATAGACACAAGGATAAGCCATGGCCTTGGCTGAGCACACCCCACTTTCCCTATCTGTCTTCCTTTCAATCTGTGCAGTCTCTGGTAAGTATTTAGCATCCATTAACATTAAAGAGTAATCCATCTTCTAATTTGAAACCATTAAATGGAAGGGAAAAATGTATACAAGGACCATTCATACAAAAAAGCTGATACTGAATTCTTAATGAGAAGGACACAGCAGCTACTTCCACACAAATGAATTTGTCATGTGATGTATTCAAGTTAATATTGCAAGCACAGGGAGTCCCTGGGTTATAAACAAGATAGGTTCTATATTTTTATTCTAAAGTTACATTTGTATGTAAGTCAGAATAGGTACATTTTTATGCATAACTTCAGTGATGATGATGGTGATGATGATGATGACTATTATTATTATTATTATTATTATTATTATTATTATTATTATGGATAGCATCAGGAAGGGTTAACATTCATGTAATGCTTGTTTTGCTACATGTGCCCCTGTTCAGAAGATTTTCAACTTCATTTTCTGTCCTTGTGACAATTGAATTTTGAAAATTTTGGCTTGTTGTGGAAAAAATTGCTGAGAAATCATCAGAGACACTTTTTCCCATAATAACTCTAACAGAAAAATGTGGCCTAGGGATTCCAGCCCCAAAAGGAGTTTCTGTAGCCCTCGGCTCTTCCAGAATTTCCAGATCAACCTTTTTCAAGAATGAATTACCCCTTCCAGATTTATTTATTTATTTATTGTGTGAGAAGCAAATTGAGAATACAATTATAATGTATAGAAAAACCACAAACAAAGTTAAAAATTTGGCATTATACTAAATTTCCTTTGACCAGAAGCTGGCTACTTTGAGAGAAGGGCCTCTCCGAAAGATCGAAGAGGTTAGCTGTGCTTTCATGACATATTGAAGTAGTTGCTTGAGATAGCCATCTCAGTCTAATTAAAATATCGACATTGTCACTTTAGAAATTTCGCACTCACCTCCATGTTTTAGAAACATGTTACGAAATATAATAGCCTAGGGATACATTCATGGCTGCCATGAGGGAGCTAATTGCAGAGTCATATGCTTTAGATTACAGTAGCTTTTTAGTCCCCTTTTTAATAATGCAACTTGAATACCTGAAATTCCCTTTGACAAAATTCAATAAACAGTATATTTCACAATGTTTGTAAGAGGATTGCTTGGAGAAGTGTTGCCCACACTGGTTATGGGAAGGCTCAAAAATCCTCCTATAAATACCTCATGTCTTATTCGTGCAGTTGCAAAATACTTTAAATGTGGTGAAAGAACAGCCAATTTAAAATTGAACTTGACGGCAGAGATTTGTTACAATACTCTCTATCCACGTTCTCCTCTTTGTGGCCTCGCATCGTGTTACTTGTCTTTATACCATAAATCTATAGGTAAATGCTTTCTAACAGGAAAGATCTTTCCAGTGATTTTCTACACAGCCTTTAAGTCAGAAAATCCCTCATTCTTACCAACCCTGAAGACTGATGGCAAAGGAAAAGAGGTGCTCTTTGCTGTCTTTTGGAACCACAATTTTATAAGGATACATATATAAGTTCCATCTTGTCTCCTGTGCTTTACTAATAATATAATATAATATATTGTATATACATTATAATATTTATAACATTATAATGCAATATAAGATAATACTACTAATAATAATACAATATTATAATTATATATTTTATATTACTAATAATATTACAATATAATGGTATTGTACAACATAGTAATATATACTACTGATAATTGTACTATGTTAATAATATAATATAATGTATGTATATATATATATATCATGTAAGTCGCTCTGAGTTCAGGATGAGAAGGGCAGCATATAAATGTCGTAAATAAATAAATACGCCTTAGTTGCACCAGTTTATCCTTTAGCAGTCCCTGTATAGGTTAGTCCTGCAGTTCTAACCCAAATACTCCTTTCATTTATTTATTTATTATTTATTTAGAAGTTTTATATACCGGTCTCCTCACCTCCGAGGAGGGACTCAGGCCGTTTCACAACATGTGTTCATATACAGTAATATAAAAAATAGCACAATCCATCATCATTATACATTAAAATATAAAATACAATAAAATACATCATCACATTACACAAGCCAAGTCGTCAAACACAGTCCCAATTCATTGCCATCCTTCCATGTGAACAAGGGTTATTGACTCAATCATCGAATGCCATATTCCAAAGCCAGGTCTTTATTAGCTTTCTAAAGGTCAGGAGGGAAGGAGCAGATCTAATTTCTGGTGGGAGGGAATTCCAAAACCGAGGGGCCACCACCGAGAAGGCCCTGTCCCTCGTCCCCACCAGATTGTGTGGGTGGTGGGACCGAGAGCAAGGCCCTTCCGGAAGATCTTAGTAACCTTGCTGGTTCGTAGGGGAGAATCCGTTTGGACAGGTAAACTGGGCCAGAGTCATTTAGGGCTTTATAGGTCAAAACCAGCACTTTGAATTGTGCTCAGAAGCTAATTGTCAGCCAGTGGAGCTGGCGTAACAGAGGAGTTGTATGCTCTCTGTACATTTGCCTTCCCCTTTGCCATCACATCCCTCTGTAGATATGGTACTCAAATTTATTTATTTGTTAACGGCATTTGTAGCCTGCCTTTCTCAGCCTTGCGGCAACTCAAGGCAGCTCACAGAAATAGCAATTTTAGTGCCATACATTCATAAAAATACAGTTTAAAACATTTGACTCAATATTAAAAAAGCATATATAAACCCGGTTCTTGTGGGTTTTTTCGGGCTATATGGCCATGTTCTAGAGGCATTTCTCCTGACGTTTCGCCTGCATCTATGGCAAGCATCCTCAGAGGTGAGGTCTGCTGGAGCTGGGAAAAGGGGTTTATATATCTGTGGAATGACCAGGGTGAGACAAAGGGCTTTTGTAAGTTGGGCTAGGTGTGAATCTTTCAACTGACCACCTTGATTAGCATACAATGGGCTGACTGTGCCTGGAGCAAACTCTTCTTGAAAGGTGATTAGATGTCCCTGCCTGTTTTTCTCTGCTGTTTTTGCTGTTGCAGTTTTAGAATTTTTTAATACTGGTAGCCAGATTTTGTTCATTTTCATGGTTTCCTCCTTTCTGTTGAAATTGTCCACATGTTTGTGGATTTCAATGGCTTCTCTGTGTAGTCTGACATGGTGGTTGTGAGAGTGGTCCAGCATTTTTGTGTTCTCAAATAAAATGCTGTGTCCAGGTTGGTTCATCAGGTGCTCTGCTATGGCTGATTTCTCTGGTTGGAGTAGTCTGCAGTGCCTTTCATGTTCCTGGATTCTTGTTTGGGCGCTGCATTTGGTGGTCCCTATGTAGACTTGTCCACAGCTGCATGGTATAGGGAAGCTGATGAGGAAACACAACATACAAACAATCTACGAACCCACCAAGAAAATCCAACAAATGCTACGTTCAGCAAAGGACAAGAGGGATCCTCTCACCTCTGCAGGAATCTACTGTATAGTCATTTGAAGAGTTTGCTCCAGGCACAGTCAGCCCATTGTATGCTAATCAAGGTGGTCAGTTGAAAGATTCACACCTAGCCCAACTTACAAAAGTCCTTTGTCTCACCCTGGTCATTCCACAGATATATAAACCCCTTCTTTTCCCAGCTCCAGCAGACCTCACCTCTGAGGATGCTTGCCATAGATGCAGGCGAAACGTCAGGAGAAATGCCTCTAGAACATGGCCATATAGCCCGAAAAAACCCACAAGAACCGAGTGATTCCAGCCATGAAAGCCTTCGACAATTCATATATAAACCATTCAAAAACATATAATCACCAATGACATCCTGTTAAAATAATTATCCAGCAGCATCCTCCAGCCATTCCATGTTCATTCTTCCTATTTCATAATTACCTATTCTGCTGCACTTCCAAACGCTTGTTCAAAAATCCAAGTTTTTAGGGTTTCTTTTTCAAAAGTGACCTCTATTTTGTACAAGTATTTGTGTTGATCAGGGGCAATTATATTAAAGTGTGACCAATCTCATTTTTCAGTTCTTAAGTTTTAGAAACTAAATGCAGTCAAGATGTGTTAGGTTCAATGTGAACTCCCCAAACTCTTTATTCATTTTCAGGTCCCAAAGCCCTATTCAGATCCTATAAATGTTTTTCTACCTAATTGGTCTTCACAATGTCTCTGTCCTAATTCTATTTCATCCTGCAGGTCTCTCTCTTTAGCAATGCAGCTTCTGAGTTGTATCGTTTTCCCCATAGGTATTCCTTCATAGTATTCCGAAGGTTATGATTGACTGGCTCTAAACAGGATTGCTCAGCCTCTCACTTGACAGTTTTCATTTCGCAGCAATCAAGTGTGTTCATAGGACTTTTACTGATAGTGCAACAATGTGTTCATAAGTAAGCTCCCTAGGTTCAGTAGAACCTGGTTCCTATTTTGGGAGTATAGGATCATAGCCTAAAAAAACTAGTATGGACTGTGTAATCCAGACAAATTATAATTCAGAAAAAAACATGTCTAATCCTGTACAGGTTTACCAGGGATTTTTTTCCTATTAAACACAGTGCCATTTCTATTTATTTATTTATTTCTGTTACTTCTACCCCGCCCTTCTCATCCCCAAGGGGGGACTCAGGGCGGCTTACAGAGAAAGGCACAATTCGATGCCTATGTCAAAAATACATACATACATAAGAGCAATTAAACAGTTAACAGATTAAAAACATCAATACATAACACAATAGTAAACAATCTCATGATCAGTGTTCAGAGTTCCATAAGTCCATTCCGTTACGTCAATACATTTCTAGCCAAGTAAGCATGGAATAGACTCATACGGTCATACCGATCTTTTAAAGAAGCTGTTGTTTTTGTATTTTCCCAGGGTTATGTTTTTCCAAGTTTTCCAAAGCCAACATAGTGATGCATCACTTGGATAAAAAAGGCATGTTTAATATGTTAGAAAATAGTTAT